GTGTCACACAAGAAACATCTCATGATGGGTAAAAGCAAAGAGCTCTCTCAAGCCCTTTGCAACCTTATTGTTGCAAAACATACTGATGGCATTCGTTACAGAGGGATTTCTAAACTTCTGACTGTTCCAGCGAGTACTGCTGGGGCCATAATCTGGAAGTGGAAAGAACAACATTTCAGCATAAACCACGACCAGGTGCTCCTCGCAAGATTTCTAACAGAGGAGCGGAAATAATAATAAGGGTTGTCCATGAGCCAAGGACCACTTGTAGAGAGCTGCAAAAAGACCTGGAAATAGCAGGTACAATTGTTTCAAAGAAAACAAATTAGTAATGCACTCAACTGCCATGGCCTGTATGCACGTTCACCACGCAAGACTCAATTGCTGAAAAAAAAAGCATGTTGAAGCTTGCTTAAAGTTTGCTGAACAACATTTAGACAAGCCTGTGAAATACTGGAAGAAAATAATGTGGTCAGATGAGACCAAAATTGAACTTTTTAGATGCCATAATACACACCATGTTTGGAGGTCAAGTGGCACTGCACATCACCCCCCAAAAACACCATACCAACAGTGAAGTTTGGAGGAGGGAACATCATGCTGCGGGGCTGTTTTTCAGCATATGGTACCGCAAAACTTCATATCACTGAAGGATGAATGGAAAAACAATATATGCAACTATAACAAAATGGAAGCAACTGGGAACAAAAGCAATTCAGCCACAAAGTGGAAGGCCACATAAAATGACAGGGCGGGGTCAGCACATGCTGAAGCGCATAGTACATAGAAGTAACCAACTGTCTGCAGAGTCAATAGCTAAAGATCTGCAAACTTCGTGTGGCCTTCAGATTAGCACAACAGTGCGTAGGGAGCGTCATGGAATGGGTTTCCATGGCCAACCAGCTGCATCCAAGCCTTACATCACTAAGTGCAATGAAAAGCGTCAGATGCAGTGGTCTAAAGCACGCCGCCACTGGACTCTAGAGCAGTGGAGACGTGTTCTCAGGAGTGATAAATCACACTTCTCTGTCTGGCAATCCAATGGACGTGTCTGGGTTTAGCAGTTACCAGGAGAACAGTATTTGCCTGACTGCATTGTGCCAAGTGTAAAGTTTTGGTGAATGGAGTTGGGCTTGGCCCCTTCGTTCCAGTGAAGGGAATTCTTAAGGCATCACCATACCAAGACTATTTGGACAATTTCATGCTCCCACCTTTGTGGGAACAGTTTGGGGATGGCCCCTTCCTGTTCTAACATGCATTTGCACCAGTGCACAAAGCAAGGTCCACAGAGACATGGATGAGCAAGTTTGGGGTGGAGGAATTTGAGTGGCCTGCACAGAGTTCTGACCTCAACCTGACAGAACACCTTTGGGATGAATTGGAGCAGAGACTGCGAGCCAGGCCTTCTCGTCCAACATCAGTGCCTGACCTCACAAGTGTGCTTCTGAAAGAATGGTCAAACATTCCCATAGACACACTCCTAAACCTTGTGGACAGCCTTCCCAGAAGAGTTGAAGCTGCTTATAGCTGCAAAGTGTGGCCCAACTCATTAGTGAACCCTACGGACTAAGCCTGCTCGTATGGTAGACAAATATATTTGAAAGATCTTTTAAAAATATTCTTGCCAAATATATTTGGCCTATATATATATATATATATATATATATATATATATATATATATATATACATACATATATACATATACACATATATATATATATACACACACATACACATATATATATATATACATATACACACACACACACACATATATATATATATATATATATATATACACACATATATATATACATACACACACATATATATACACACATATATATACACACACACACATATATATACACACACACATATATATATATATACACACACACACTGCATGTTGAAATGCGTTTATATATAGTATATGAAAATTTTTTAAAAATACACTTAAATATATTCAGATTTTTTTTTAACATATAAAAAAAATGTAACATTTGTAAATGCATTCCAAAAATTTAGATGTGCATTTTTAAAGACAGTATATTTGAAAATGTATTTTTAAAAATATTTTTCATATATTTTGTAATAAAAACGCATTTCAACATATAACATAGTGGCAATGAGGGGAGATAAATCTTCTGCAGCTTCCGCAAGCACTGCCTCAACATCCTCTTCATTCCCTTTCGATTCTGCTTCTTCTAGGACCAGGGTCTGACTCCAGTTGTGAAAAGTAGGAGATGAGGCAGGGTTTTTGAGCCCTGGGCAAAGATGGCTATATTAAGGGCTTAATCTGCCCAAGGAATTATGACAAATGCAGAAAATTTTTTGATAAGTAGGCCAGGATATATCATATAACACGCTCATACATTGCGCGTCCAGTGAGTGCGCATTTCTTCTATTGCCAAACGAGCACAAGCACCGATTGAAGACTTAGCACTTTACAGGCACTATCCAATTACCTTCACGAACTATTCATGTATATTGTTTTACTTTATTACCCTTATTGTATATGCTTATATTTTTTATCAATTATTTCCCATATTACCTTTATGAATTTTTTAGGATTACCCATATTAATTTTACACTTATTCGGTATTATTAATTTTAAGCGCTGCACATTTATATTTTATGTTATTTGAAAGGTTTTATTTTGGTTACCTTCATGCACAGCTGCTATCAGTTTTTACTTTTTAATACTTCTTAATATCTTTTTAGTGCGCTCACATATACTGTATTTCTATTAATAAAGGAGAAATCTTCCAACAGGGACACAAATTCTGGTGACACCACGGGATTTCCTCACTTTGGAGAGATACCCTCACTTTGGAGAGATACCCTCACTTTGGAGAGATACCCTCACTTTGGAGAGATACCCTCACTTTGGAGAGATACCCTCACTTCCTTCTTTGTCTATGGGACAGGAAGTGAAGGAAAATCTCCACCAATGGGACACAGTTGGTATTGGGGGGGGGAAAAAAAAAAAAACCCACACAAGGAGGGATATAACTTTCCCTTACACTATCCAAAATGGAAAAAAAAAAAGTTCTACCTTTAGTTACACTTTAACATGCGACTAGTGGTGTGATGCAACACCTGCTCATCCGCCTGAGACGGCACTAAAATTTAACCACTCAGATCTAAGTTTGAAAGGTTTGCCTTGTGAAATAAATACACTCTAAACATAGCCTTGATTATGCAGTAACAGTCATATACAGGGTGACCCTGTCTTACTTGTAAACAATGCTGGACTACACATACAGTCAAGACTTTGGCTGTCAAAATGTGCATGCCCTTGAAAGGGTCTTCAGGGACTAGGTTCCATGGTGGTGAATCATGGCCCTGGACCTGTGCAGCACACTGGATAACTCAATGCATTGCACCAATTGCCAAGTTAAACGTTCCTACGCATGATCCAATGCCTTAAGCAATTTTACAAGCTGTCCCCACAGCATGGGGTCTGGGCAAAGCTCCCAAGTTTTACCAAGGTTGCACCAATCCAGATACACTGCTTCTGTGTAGGCATTAGAAGACAGTGAGGGTAGACTGAAAAATTCTAAAAAAATAAGAAAAACTTAAAAAAAAAAAAAAAAAAAAAAAAAAAAAAAAAAAAAGTACTAAAGAAGCTGATTTCCCCAAGGAGAACAGCCCTTAGACACTATAGACACTAGTAAGAAAAAAACAAAAAGGTGTTTTTTTCCAATCACCTGAAGGTATGAGCCTATAACCCAGGGATGTCAACCTTGTGGCCCTCCAGCTGTTGCGAAACTACAAATCCCATCATGCCTCTGCCTTTGGGAGTCATGCTTGTAACTGTCAATCTTGCAATGTATCATGGGACTTGTAGTTTGGCAACAGTTGGAGGGCCATCAGTTTGACACCCGTGCAATAACCCATATAAATAATATGTTGCTTGTGTCCTGTACGATTAAAATATAGGTTTTTTTTTTGTTTGTTTTTAACAGAATACAGATCTCTAAACAACCTACATAACACTTATAAGCATCCAGGGTTGTGGCAAAGGTGAGCAATTTTAACTGAGGCAAAGCAGTTTTGGGCAAACCTGGGCAAAAGAGATGCAGTTGCCAACATAATTCCAATGCAACAATCTGGTTGTTTCCTTTAACCAATGCTCTACAAAGGTACGTTCATAAGCAAAGGTAGAGAAAAGGTTAAATCACTGTTAATTACAGCCATGAACTTGGTACCAGTTTTCAGACATTAAGGGCTTCTGACAAAAGCAATTTGGGCGGCTCTAGAGCTGCACAACTGCTTTAATGGGGCTCTGAAAGTGGGCTCCGTTCCCCTGCTGGCGGCATCTGGGGTAAGGACTAGAGAAAACTGCTCGCACAGTGAGAGCAGGAGGAAATCGTGGAACATTTGTTCCATGATCGCTCCTGAGACTAAAGACCCAAGACGCAATGTGCATTACATCACTTCCAGGTTCACAGTCATTCCTCGGCTAGTGTAGCCAAGGATCCAGCTATTCAAGCATGATCTGTGTTTGAATTACTGCATTGGAGGGCTGGGGAGACATTGGGGGTTTTATTAGACTCCTAATGTCTCCATAAAAAGGACCTGTCACCTGCCCTTGCTATCACATAGCGGTCATGCAACGCTTTACATAAATGAAATTTATGTCTTTTTCCCCAGAAATCGAGCTCTCTTTCAGTGGTATTTGATCAACAAGGGTAAACTATGTGTTGTGTGTTTCACATTATGTGCAATTCTACAATGGAGACATGCTGCTGTGTATTTCTCTGCTGTGCAGAGAAATACAAAAGCAGCATGTCCTTGCTGACAGGAGAGAGACCAGTGTTGTTTACACACAGGTCTCTCCTGTCAGCTTTCCCCGACGATCACCGAGTGTCGGTGGGGAATCGCCAGCCAGAACCCGGTGATAGACTTCTCTAGTCACCAATGGCTGCTTATAATTTCACACACAATATACACAGTATGCTACCACTTTATGATCACATAAAATGTTATTACCATAGCAAACCCAACATCTGCTTTCTTCAAGGCAGGTCCATCATTGGTCCCATCACCAGTTACTGCTACCACTTGTCTCTGTTCACAGATTGTGCTGTCAATAATACCTAAAGTGGAAAAGTTTAAACATTTAAGGTAAAAAAAAAAAAAAAACTTCAACAAATAGGAACCATTTAATTGTTAAAGTGACCAAAACACCCTAAAAACATACGTTTTCAGTCTAGTGAACAGAGACAGCATATGAAGAGGTATCATACAAGGTATATAACGGTGGCCATACATGTAACGATCAGATCAAACCATTCCTCACAGAATCAGACATTGACAATCTAGGAATTATCAAAAACAGACACACTTTGGTCTCCAACCAATCTGGACAAAACTGACTGATTTTATCAAAGTCAATCTGATAGGTCTGGTAGGAAAATATGAACATGGGAAAGTAGAATATATGATTAAGTGTATAGTGTACTGAACAAGCTTTATGGTCATCTGACCATATTTCTCTACCAGACAGCAAACTGATCGACATTACAATTGTATATAAAACCTGTTCCATGTATGGCCACCATAAAATATTAGCCGCTGTATATACATAGTGATACCTGTATTCTTTAAAGGTGAGCACAATTTTTCAAGTTTTAATAGTTAACACTTTGCAGTGATACACTATAATAGATTGCTTCTTTGCATTCCATGCGCTTCTGTCACTGATGAACATTTGTGAAACTGAAGATTATAAAACATTTCTATGGTCTGAATTAGCATTTGGAGTATAACTTGCAATATGACCTATATAATGTGAGGTGCCTTTCTGAAGGTAGGGAAGTTTCACAGAGGGCATTTCTTCATTAAAAAGAGTTGCTCACTCAGTGTAATGGACATATGATTTTTGGAAGAAGGTGATGGACTTTCACTTCACAGTAACAATTATGAGGCCCATTTACAATAATGTAATGAATATAGGATTTATTTGTATAGTGCTGCTTATATGGGACACTAGATACTATGTATGGACATACACTGGAAAAGCAAATTGTGAAAATAATATTCCTACCCTACATATATATTTTATGTGTGTGTCATGTAGCAGAGAGAAAATGGTTCACTACAATGTGCTTTGAACTGAGCCTTACTAAGAATCAGAAGCACTCTGCCTTCCACTTTCCACTTTTTTTTGTTTTGAACTTCAGCACCAGGAACCACTATAGTTACTACTACTGTTAGTACGACTAGTTATACAAATCTGAATTTATGTAGCGTTTTACACGCTTTTCTATGCTATTTTCATCAATCCCTGCCCTCAAGGAGCTCGCAATCTATGATCCCTATCTCACATGTACATCATATACACAGATTAAGGCTAATTTAGACAGCAGTTAATTAACCAATCAGCATGTTTTTGTAATGTGGGAGGAAACCATAGTAACCAGAGGAAACCCACGCAAGTCAGGGATAACATGCAAACTCCATATAGTGTCCTGGCTAGGATTCAAACCAACGAATTGCACTAATAATCTATTGTAAAATCCCAGAACTTCAACATTTCAGGTGTTTTCCCAAATACAATAGTAACAGGTACAATTCAGCCTGAATAACCACAAAGCATGCATATAAACACAAAATATAATCACATAGGCCCCTATTCTTATAGCCTTTTGATTACCCTTTTTTCCCCTAGGTTGTCTGCCATTCTCAGGCAGTTACATATCACCACAAAATTATTAACTGTTTATTATCACTGTGCTACCTCTTCTGAGGTTCATACCACCTCTAGATTCCTGCTCTTTACAGTTTTTTTTTTTTTTTTTTTTGGGGGGGGGGGGGGGGGGGGGGGGAGATCAGACTTGTTCACACCAGATACATCCTTGTACTTTCTGCCCGCTAGTGTTGCCTATCTGTTCATTTTCTTAGAACAGAAAGCACTGTGAATTGATAAGGTGAGAGGAGAGAGGGTGGTAAACAACACACTAGCATGAGCTGTAGTACACACTCACCAAGTACAGGGAAAGCTGCACTATCCACGCATGAACAAAAGTAGGATTTTTAGTGTAAAAGAGCAGTGATTTGGAGGTGGGATAAACTCCAGTAGTTCCACTTTAAAAGAGAAATAAACCTTTGGTATTTTTTGGGAATGCCAAATAAAAGATCAGATAAAAACAGGGTACCGTGTAACTTTTTCACACATCTGGCTCCCTTCTAAAAGTCACCTACAAATACACTTCACTTGGGTGACCATTAAAGCTTGAAACAAAATAATGCTTGTGTGATCAAATTTCATTGAATCACTAGTTCCATAAATATTTTATAATTATGTATGAGACAGAGCTTAAAAAAAAAAAGGCAGCAATAACAGTCTTACCTTTTACTAATGTATGCTTATCAGTTGGAGATGATCTAGCAAGAACACGAAGCTTAGGCCAAATTTTATCTATTCGCTCTTGTTCAATCTGCCATATAAACACAGTATTAGGTGACTGTACAAAACCGAAGGGAGGGAAGGGAAAGGGGGGGTAGGGGTTGGACAGAATTTATATTTACTTCTCCTTTTTCATTTCGTATACGTCTATTGAATTCTTTGCCTTCTACACAAAGGAAGTCCTCCCCAGGGTGAAGAATTCCACATTTTGTGGCAATAGCACGAGCTGTGTTAATGTTGTCCCCTGTTACCATTCGGACAGTAATACCAGCTCGCTGACATTTTCTTATTGCTTCTGGCACCTTGGATACAGGAGACAAAAAAATAAACAATTACATGATAAAAACAGGCCTAAACTATCAAGCACCTGAAGTGCCATCAAGTAAGCCCCAAGCATAGCTCTGTATAGCTTCGGGTGGCTTACATTAAACATTTTCTGTAAATTCTAGTCAAGTGTCTGGTTTCAACATTAAACTGCAAACTGGACAAGAGCCAAATTTACAAGCAAAGTTCGACAGCATAATTTTAGTTTAAGAAGCATGTTGATTTAGTTCTGACAAGACCCTGTTGCTCGCACTATTTAAATTCCTCCAGAAAAGCAACTTTAAGATATCTTAACCCATTGGCAAAACAGCAATCATGACAGATGCTGCCTGGCTTTTAGACAATTTCAAAACAATCTGAAAGCCACTGCTAGTATAAACTTAGCAGGTGTAATGGATGCATCATTTGAAAATGTAATATATCTTATAAAGCTTTGACTACTATATAATTTATATTTACAGAATACTTTCAGATTAAGTCTTACTCCAGCCAAAATTTTCTGCTCTAGAGTGTAGAAAAGTAAACATTTGTCAGATTTTTATTTGGGGTCTGTGACTCCAATAATAAAGTCAACAGTTCCAACCCTTCCCTGTTTTTTGTCCCCACTGGAGAGATTTTCTATTTATATCCTGACAAGAGATGTTGGGTACTCTCCCAAATGGGACCGCAATAAATACCGGATAAAAAAATCTACAATCCTAAATCAAGTTTTTGCTGGAATTGCATTGAACATCTAGGGTTTTTTTTATGCTGCAGTGACTACAGACCAAATAAAAATCTATATTCTAAATCAGGGGTAGGCAACCCCCCGCACTAGTGTCAAAGGTGGCATGCGACAGTACCACCTCTGGACAGCATTCAAGGGGAGATATACATGTACCTACACATAGAAACTGGGCCCAGACCAAATGTATACATCAAGAGTGAGATTTATTTACAGTGAACTATAAACACACCAAGAGAAATATGAAAATGCATGAAAATCAACTGTACAACCAAAATTCAGAAACCGAATATATATATATATATATATATATATATACATAAAAACACACACACACACACACACACACACACACACACAAAGCATACAATGCAGGGGGAATCTAGCGGGGCAGTTGGGAAGGAGGGAAACAAGACTGAAAAAGAAGCAAAGTACTGGGTACAGGATGAGAGCAGGATCACAAGTTAATGGCAGCAGCAGAGCAAACAGAATACAAGACAGGAGCAACCAAAACACTGATGTGTCATGTGCTAATGGAAGCAGCATTATATGTCCTGATAGCAGCTGAAACCATTTGGAATTAATTACTGAAGCTTGCTGATGGACACTAAAACTACAGTTTTCTGCTCAGAGATCCGCAGTGCCACCAGGAGATTTGCCAGGTCATGACATCCACCTCCCAAACAATAAAGCTAGCCAGCAGCTGCATACAGAATCAGCACTTCTGTTCCTGCTGGTGTCGGTTCCTGCACTGCTATCTCCACATTGAAGATGTGTCGAGGTGGATTCCCCAGGCTGCTTATTCTCACTTTTAAAGGGTAATTATATTCAGTATTTTTGCTCCTCTATGGTACAGCACTCTTTTAGCCTAAGCTGACTAATGGCCAGGCTTTTCCTATTGGTGTACCTGACCTCCTTCCGAGCATTTCTCTCCATCAGCATCTATGCACCTAGTTCAGCTTGGAGGGCATACATCCAGATGTTTATCTTCAAATGGCTTTTAATCTCTTCCACAGCCATCTTTTATTAACAGCAAGTGAAAGAATTGGGGGTGGGAAAGTGCATTAATTAGGTGATCAGAGGTGTGAAGGTGTAGGAATGGAGGTGATCTGAGGTGTGAAAGTGCAGGATTTGGGGTGAGCTGAAGTATGAAGGCGCAGTAATTGGGGTGATATGAGCTGCATGGGTGCAGGAATTGGAGATCATCAGAGGTGTACCGGCACAGGTATTTGGGTGATCTGAGGTGGAAAAAATTAGAAATTTGGACAGATCTGAAGCCTGAAGGAACAGGAATTGGGGCTGATCTGGGTTGTAAAGATGTAGGAATTGGGGTGAACTGAGGTCTGGAGGTACAGGAATTGGCACTGATCCGAGGTGTGAAGGTGCAGAAATTGTGATCAGAGTTTTGGGGGGTTCAAGAATTGGGGCTTGCCTGAAGGCACAGGAATTTATACTGGAGGATGGGGAGTAAAGTTGTAGGAATTGGGATGAGCTGAGGTGTGAAGGTGCAGATCTGAGACCTGGAGGTGCAGGGATTGGGGCTGATCTGAAGTGTGAAGGTGCAGTAATTGGGCTGATATGAGCTGTGAGGGTGCAGGAATTGGAGATGATCAGAGGTGTAAAGATGCAGGTATTTGCGTGGTCTGCGGCTGGAATTGGGACTAATTTGAGGCCTGAAGGAACAGGAATTGGGGCTGATCTGGGTTGCAAAAATGCAGGAATTGGAGTGAACTGAGGTCTGGAGGCGCTGGAACTGGGGTAACCTGAGGTGTGAATGTGCAGATATTAGGACTGACCTGAGGTGTAAAGGTGCAGAAATTGAGACTGATCTGAGGGGTGTGAAGGTGCAGGAACTGGAGTGATTTGAGGTGTGATGGTGCACATATCGGGGCTGATATGAGGTCTGGAGGTGCAGGAATTGGGGTAATCTGAGGTATGAAGGTGCAGAAATTGTGATCAGAGTTCTGCGAGGGGGGGGGGGGCAGGAATTTGGGCTTATCTGAGGCCTGAAGGCACAATAATTGTCGATGGAGACTGAGGTGTGAAGTAGCAGTAATTGGGGGGAGCCAAGGTGTGAAGGTGCAGAAACTGGGGTGATCTGAGGAATGAAGGTGCAGGAATCGGGCCTGATCTGGGGTGCGAAAGTGCAGGAATTGGGCCAATCTGAGACGTAAAGGTGAAGGAATTGGGGCTGATCTGGTGTGTGAAAGTACAGACATCGGGGTGATCTGAGGTGTGAATTGAGATGTGTAGGTGTAGGGTTGAGGATCTGAAGTTGCAAAAATTGGGTTTGATCTGAAAGAACATTATTAGGGTGACCACTATCACCTCACACTTCTTTTGCAACTGTATATTTCGAAGAAGTCCTCAGTTGACATAGTTCATTTCAATCTAACAATACTTTCCTCACAGCCCATGTGTTTTGGAAAAAGGGGTAAGTTAGCATTTGCCATCCTTGAAAGCTCAATTTTTTCAAGTTTTATTGAAATAGTTTACAGCATTTACTGCATAAAAATTACTTTTCGTGAGTGTGTGTAAAGTTGACATTTATTATATAACTGGCACACTCCATTTCTTTGAAAACATTTTTCAGCACACTGTGCTCAACAGATTGTCTACCCCCTGTTCTAAACGTAAATTAATTGGATATTTGACAAACATCTGCTTAGAAACAAACATGTACACATTTCAAATAGATTGCTTTATTTTATTTTGTTTAAACTGACCTCTGGTCTTACTGGGTCCTCAATGCCTACAACAGCAATGCAGGTGAGCCCAGTAAGGATGTCATTTTCATTTTCCCAGTCAGGCTCATGTTCCCCAGCAGGAAAGTCTCTATAAGCTAAACATATAGTTCTTAGGCCCTCAGAAGCCATTGGTTCAATCACTCTTTTAGCCATATCATCCCTATCCCTTGGTCTGAAAATTTTGGCTTCACCATTAGCACAAAGAATTTTGAAGCACCTGCAAATAGAAAATGGCAAAATAAGCATAACACCATCAAATGTATAAGAGTAAAAGGAAATAATTAAATACTCATACAGTATAAACGAAAATAAACACAAACATTTAGTAGAAAATGAGCAAACCTTGAAAAACAAACATTCTTACTGTTTATAAATACCATACCTATATTAAACTTTATTAGTGATGTGATGTAATAATCATACTTAAATTACATTACCTTTTCAGGCAGAAATTAAAAACATGCAGTGAAATATGATTCATTTTTCATATATTCTATTCTCACAAGCAAGATCTTACTCACATGTATTGTTACTGTGATGTTTCGTGTACAGTCTCCCATTATAATGTATAGCGCTGAGCAAACTGTTGGCGCTATATACTGTATAAGAATAATAAATTAAAGTGGACCTAATTCCTTCCCCAGATTTCACAAAGGCATGCATCTCTGAATGCTGATGTTAAACTACCAGACATTTTAGGTGATTTAAGCCTAAAAAAAGTGCCAAAAGTGGTAAAGGATTGGGAGGGGAGGGGAGGGATTAAGAAGGTGAAGTTTCACTTTCTTCTCTTGCACTTCTTGGTTTCCCTGAAGTACTATGCCTAATTTTAGAGTTCTCTGTCATACTGTGCATAGGCAAGATAAAAGGCATGATGTCAAAACATACTAAACATGAAACACACTGGTATTGTGCAATACGAAGATGTTTACCCAACACTGAAAGGAATAGAAAAAAAAAAAAAAAACTTCAGGTAAAAAAAAAAAGAGAAGCGAAAACAAAAACATGGTTTGTAGGACTAAACGTTAAAGGCTAGTCTCCCTGATAGAAAGTTGAAAAAAATAACTTTGGTGTACGGGCTAAACAGTTTTACGTAAATTTAGGTACATTCCAATAGATAAGAGATCCATTTGATTGGGGTGATTTATCAAATTGCTTCTTCACAGAATAAGGTGCCCATCGACTACGAAGCAAACTGTCCCTCATTCCCCATGTATTGAGGCATTTTCCACTTAAAAGCATTAATGGAGAAAAGCACAAATATTTTCGTTTTGGATAGAGTGAAAAGATTTAAAAATCTGTCAGATATTTACCATGGTCTGTGCCCCCGTTAGAGATTCACCCTATTTGACACATTTACTCATCAAATTGAAAATTGAGGCATATTTGGGTTCACTTGCAATTTGTTCTATGGCAGATGAGTGAATGTGCTTAAGGAACGATAAACCCTGAGCCACATACACGTACTGCTTAAACACAAAAAAAGCAAACATATGATTTTTATGTAAGAATAAACTGTAAGAGAAATGCTTTCAAACGGCTTTCTAATTTCCTGTTTGAGAGGTGGCATGTGCACCTGTTTTCAGCAAACAATGCATATTTTATTCAGCTATTAAGTCTTGCAACTATCACTAGAATGAATGGTTTTCTATATCACATTTGAAATTTGAAGCCAACAAGCGAATACACATGCTGCAAGCTCTGGAGTGTGGGTGGAGAACAAATTGAATTTGGAAAGATTATACTTCAAAAATCAATGAATGAAGGTGCTAACTTTCCTAAAAAAGACTATCTATGCCAAATGGACAAAAGGATTGCTGGCATTGGCAATATAAGTAACAATTTTACTGCAATGTACAAATGTTCTTCGAATATGTTAAACTATCCTTAAGGCAGTAAAAGCAGGCATTTCAAGTTTATTTTCATAGTGCCTAAGGGGATGCCAAGCTCTGGGAGCCATTTTTTTTTTAACAAAGGAAAGTGCTAACCATCCACCCTGATGCCAGAGCCCCAAGAAATGCAAGAGTACTTTCAAGCAAAGTGGAGCATGTGACACTGCACACATGCAGAACTGTGTGCTTGAGTGGCCATATGACAAATCAGGAACACCCTGTCAAAGTGTTAGGAAAAGCTGTTGTACCCCATGCAGGTATGAACTTTTCTGAACCTTTGTGATGGCCAAAACATGCACAGGGTTCTTGACAAAATTGGTTCAGTTCGAAAGTATAGAAAGTATGGAATAGCAAAGTAAATGTCACAAAAAAATAGCAAAGAAAGGGAAGGGGGAATTACACTGCTAACTGAAAGTGTATAATTGATATTAGAACAGATAACCGCAAACAAGTATGCAGATAAGTGGTTCTAACTTATCTTCTGCATGCATATTTTGTCACTAATTTAGAAAGAACGGAAGCAAGAGACAACCAGGATTTTCTATTTCAGCAGCAATCGCACACACTTATCACATTTTATATCTCCATAGAATAATTCACAACTCCATCCAATGTTTTTTTTTTTTTTATTATTATTCTAGATCGGTGAAGGGTTAGATCTGTCAGTATTTATTTTCATCCCTATTTGGGAGATTTCTTCTCACTTAGAACAAGTGCAAGACAGAGCAGAACAGAGAGGAAGATCCAAAAACCGAAAGACAAAACACAAATTTATAGAAGGGAGGAAAGTTGATAACCTGAGGATTTTAATTCTGTTATCTGTTGGGGAGGTGTACTATTTTTGGTCTCGGTGGCAAAACTGGAAGTGAGAAAATAGTCGACAGCGACACATAGATTTAACACGTGACACAAGAAATCTCAATAAGACACAGACAGCCTTGAAAACCTGGCAAGAGGTTCTAAACCTACCATGCTCTAGTCAGAACTTTAAAAAGGCTTGACTGGAATTGAGACTAACTACATTTTAAACAAACTGCCTGTACACAATGGACAGAAAGACAACCAACAGCTACTATGGGATTATAGAAGTAGACATGAATAGCAGTCATCAAAAGAAAGTCTTAAAAAAACATTAAAAAAAATGTTGTGAAGTCATGACAGCAGGCTCACAAACATGAAGTCCAGCTTGTCTGATACACTGCAGAACAGGTGTCTTCAAATATAGAACCACCAACATGCTCATTAACTATTCTCTAACCAGCAACTTCAAACAAGGGAAAAATACTTGCTGGAACAAATTATTTTACTTCTAGACCTAATTACCATTTTTGAAACTTGAAAGGAAAAAAGTACTTATGAACACTTATACAAAAGGGAGACATTTCT